AGACTAAAAAAATAATCCGCGGATTATTTGCTACCTCCATTCCCTCACTGAGAACTACCCAGACCCGAAGCTCTGGCTGCACCCCACAGCCAGGGGGCTCACAGCTAGCAGGGAGCCCTGCCCTCCACCCCCTGCCTAGCAGTGACCGTCCCCGGCTCCACGCGAGTGTAGTTCTCAGTGGGTGAATTTGTCAGCCTTCCCGGTGGGGCTGCGTGGGATCAGAAGAGCTGGAAGATGCAGGGGGGGGTTGCTTTTAGCTTTAGCGTGTTAGTCCAAAGGAGAGGGGGAAACAAATTGAGGGAAAATTTCTTAATCAATGGGTGCGACGATATGAGGGGGAAAGACCCGTAGTAGAACGAAATTCAGTCCATACCCGCACTCCTGAGGTGGTATCTCCAGTTCCTGAAGAATCCTAAAGAGATCACATCAGCAAACTCCAGTGGTGGGGGAAGTCAATCCAAAATGGAGAATAATCCGCGGCGGCCTGAGGCACCCATAGCTCACACAAATTGAAAGCATCCAAATTGGAAGGACAGAGCCCAGATTTTTATTTTCTTTTCAGCACCAATTATAAATTGCTAGGGGTTTGGCTTTTTTTCAGAAAAATAAAGTTTGCATTGTGTCTCTGGGACAGATTTACAAGTGGGATGCACTTCTGGAGACAAACTAATTCGGACCCATTGTCTGTGGACATTTATACCCAGGACCAAAGACTGAAAATTCTTTATGATGAGAATTTCAATTACCCTTTTAGTTCGAGTTTTGATTTCAATTTTTTTTTTATTTTATTTTTTTAGTAAATGCACTGGCATTGGAACATAAATTTAATAGAATAATGTTTCTATACTATGCCTCACCATTGCACAATCAATTTTTTGGCATACACTGTGGTGAAGTTGGACTTGCTGCTATGGAGACTGATGTTTAAAGTTTCTAATTGTATAAACCTTTTCTATGTCTCCCACACCATGGATTTCTTATAATATTGGATATATTTTTCCTTGCTGAACTATTCTCATTTGGATTGACTCCCCCTGTTTGGATTATTTCACTGCATTATCTTTAGGACTCGTCAGGAACAGGACATTTCACCTCAGGAGTACGGGTATGTACTGAAACAATTTTTTCAAATTACTAGGCCTAGCCTTGAAAAAAGGAGAGGAATGCTAGAAAGGGTGTTTGAGTTGAGCGAGCATCCCTGAAGCAGCAGACAGGCAAACGTTTTTTACTGCAAGGAAGTGAAGAGGAAATAGGCTTAGACGTGCAGCTCATTCCACGTGTTAATCACAACTTTGCGCATGGGGAAGCTAAATGAGGACTCAAAAGTAATGTGGGTTTTCCCCTCCCTGGTTCTGGAAAAGCTAGGGAGGCCCTCAGGCATTGCCTGCCCTGGACGCCTGGCTGCTCATTCAGGGGCAGGCTGAGTTTAGGAAGAGGCTGCAAGGGTTTCACTGCCGAAATGAAGAGCTTAAGAGTTAGACAGACCAGGCAACTCCTCTTACAGACGGCAGGTCTGTCACTCAGCTTGCCTGCTGATGTGCTCCAGATAGGGACTTGCCATCTTTTCCTAAAGAAAAAACAAAATGATGTATTTTTTTAAATTTGTATGGTAGCTGATAAGTGAGCTGTCCTCAGGGAAAAACACAGCTGAATATGAAGTATTTCAGTTTCAAGCTGTGGTAGATCATGCCTGTTAAAACACCAGTAAGAAGATACAAGAGCGAGACTTCTCAGTAAATATCAGAAGACTTCACTTCAGTGGTTTTACCTCAAGACATGCTTATTTACACTGTTTACCACAGGGTAAACAAACAGAAGTTACTTTGACTCCATGAGTCCCAGCCGCAGGAGCTAGCACAGCATGTGTGGAACTCACACGAGTGCTCTTCAGCACCCTGGTGGATTTGTGTCCAATTCCCATTCACCAGAGCACACTCTTTGGCTTACAGCCTGCCCAGGGAGTACCTGTGCAAGTTCCTAACTACAGACAGTTAGCATGTCATGCACCGATTAATTTCTCCTAGTGCTGCATGATGTGTGTTTACTTGCAGTGGTGCAGGAGCATGATAAGAGCTCAGCTTTTATCAGAACTGCTGGCATCAGAACTTATCACTCACCCCTTGCCTTTTCTGCAGCCTGTGCATCACCTGAAACATAGAATCATAGAATCTTCAGAGTTGGAAGAGACTTTTAAAGGTCATCTAGTCCAACTCCCCTTCAATGAACAGGGACACCACAGCTAGATCAGGGTTCTCAGAAGCCTGATCCAGCCCATCCTTGAATATCTCCAGGGATGGGACTTTCACCACATCTCTGGGCCTGTTCCAGTGCCTCACTGTAAAAGACTTTTTCCTTATATCCAACCTAAATCTACTCTCTTTAATTTCCCCTTGTCCTTTGAAAGATCCTGCTAAAGAGTCTGTCCCCTTCTTTCTTGTAGTTCCCCTTTAGATACTGAAATGCCACTACCAGGTCACCTTAGAGCCTTCTCTCCTCCAAGCTGAACAGCCTCAGCTCTCTCAGCCTATTCTTGTAGGGAAGGTGTTCCATTCCTTGGATTATTTTTGTGACTCTCCTCCGGACGCGCTCCAGCAGGTCTGTGTATTTCCTGTACTGAGGACTCCACACCTGGATGCAGTACTCCAAGTGAGGTCTCAGCACAGAGCAGAGGGGCAGGATCACTTCCCTCACCCTGCTGACTGTGTTTCCTTTGATGCAGCCCAGGATCCAGTTGGTTTTCTCGGCTGCAAGGGCTTGTGTCCAGCTTGTGTCCAGCTGCCATCCACCAGTACCCCCAAGTCCTTTGTGGCAGGGCTGTGCTCCATCCTTTCATCCCCCAGCTTGTGGGAGGTTTTCCTTGATCGAGTGGAGGTTTTCTTGACCCAGGTGCGAGATCTTGCACTTGGCTTTGTTCAGCCTTAGTTCTCCTGGGCCTACCACTCGAGCCTGTGTAGGTCCCTCTGGATGGCATCCCATCCCTTGAACATATCAGCTGTGCCTCACAGCTTGGTGTCATCTGCAAACTTACTGAAGATGCACTTGACCCCACTGTCAGTGTCATTGATGAAGATCTTGGAGAGTATCTGTCCCAGTGCTGACCCCTGGGTAACCTTGCTCGTCATTGATCTCCATCCAGACACTGTGCCATTGACAATCACTCTCTGGGTTCAATCTTGTATCCAATTCTTCATCCATCAAACAGTCCACTCATCAAATCCATATCTGTCCAATTTGAGGAGAAGGATGTTGTGGGGTATCATATCAGAGGTCTTACTGAAGTCCAGATAGATGACATCAGTGGCTCTTCCTTTGTCTACTGATGCAGTGACACTATCATTGATGACAGGTAGGTCGGTCAAACAGGATTTGCCCTTGGAGAACCATGCTGGTTCTCCTGTATCAGCTCCTTGTCTTCCGTGCTCCTTAGCAGAGCTTCTAGGAAGATCTCCTCCGTGATTTTTCCTGGCACAGAGGTGAGACCAACAGATTGGTAGTTCTCTGGGTCATCATCCTTTTTACCCTTCTTAAAAATGGGTATGATGTTGCCTTTTTTCCAGTCATCAGGGACTTCTCTTGAATGCCATGATTTTTCAATACTATTGAGAGTGGCTCGGCGACTACATGAGCCAGTTCCCTCAGGACTTGCATCTCATCAGGACCCACAGACTTGTGGATGTTCAGGTTCCTCAGGTGGTCACAAACCTGGTCTTTGCTCACAACAGGAGGGGCATTGTTTCCCCAATCTCCTCCTTCCAAACCAATTGTTTGAGGGCTGTGTGACAGGCAGTTATCAGAGAAGACCAAGGCAAGGAAGTTGTTGAGTGACTCAGCCTTCTCCTTGTCCGTTGTTACCAGCTTGCCTGTGTCACTCTTGGACTTTTGTGATTAAGGTACCTGTAGGCGGCTTGTTCTTCTTGGCACCCCTTGCCAAGTTTCATTCATGTTGGGCCTTGGCTTCCCTTACCCTATCCCTATGTGGCCTTACAGCTTCCTTGTACTTTTCCCACAGAGTACTAGTCCCTGTTTCCACTGCTTGTGCATTTTCTTCTTGGTTTCCAGTTTGACCAGCAGGTCCTGTTCAGCCATACTGGTCTCTTGCCTTCCTTTTCTGACTTCATAGTGAGGGTCAACATAGTGAGATGTCATCCAGATCACGTACATGATAACTTTCTGTTTTGCTTGTTATATAAGAAGAGAGGAGGATGGGAGCATGTTGGGTGTGTGTATAGCTATTCCTGGAGTTTTAACACCAAGCTGCAGTGAGGAGCTGCTGTGAGCTCTGTGCTGTCATCAGCCCAGGTAAAAGTCTTTTAGAACAGAATAGTTGGTTTTCTTGACGCAGCTGTCAGCCTTAGAAATACCAGATGTGCAGGAGTTATCCCATTACAGGAATGACTTGCCAGAATAAGGTTAAGGAAGGAGAAACCTGCAAGTTAGAGCTAGACATTTCCTGCACCCCACCCTCGCTTCCCTTGTTGTTCTCCAAAGTTGAACAGCAGCCTCCATAGCAACAATCTGACCTACTGCCTGCAAAAGTCCATGTTAGTAAGATTTCATTCACTAGCAAAAAACAAAAATGAAAAGAAAAAAAACAGTGGGGCCCTATTCAATTTTTGCATTCGGTGAATCCTGCTCATTTGAACCCTTTCTCCCCACCTTCACTCCACCCCATGTGCATGGCTGGTAGCACCTGTGTGTTTTTGTCATGACTTTTGAATGAGTTCCCCCTTCATTCTTGGAGTTGTTTCTCTGAGTGCGCTCCCATGAAGTCTCTTGCTGGCATTGCTCCTTCACTGAGTGCAGAGCTTGGCAATTAACCCTTTCTCAACCCCAGGAACTGGATTTTCCTATCCTCGCTGGAGGACGTTGATTACTACAAACACAAGTTCGTTCCAGTGCGTTGGGCAACGAGAGGTTTAATTGCTCTGGCTTGCTGCTGCTCAGCAAAGAGAAAGAACATACTCAGACAACTTGTTTCTCCTTGCTTGTTTTTTTTGCAGGTCTTCCGGCCCCGCACTCCACCAGAAGCAATTGCGCTATGTAGCCGTCTGCTGGAGTATACCCCCACTGCCCGCCTGACTCCCCTGGAGGCCTGTGCACACTCTTTCTTCGATGAACTACGGGACCCAAATGTCAAGTTACCAAACGGGCGAGAGAAACCTGCACTCTTCAATTTCACCACTCAAGGTAGCCTGCAGGCGTTGAGGATCTCCGCTTTGGGGAGCGCTGGGATAAATGTTTGCCGTGATGCACACCACACTCTCAAAAGTTAAAAAGCAAAAGGTTTACATTTGCAGTTTAGTGTCTGCAGTCTAGCTGATGTATGTGTGTGGAATACTGTACTCAGTGGCCATGGAGATTGGTTTTTCCTTTTGGAGATGTTCCTACTCCTTCATGCCTGCAATGCCATGTTGAGGAGCAGTGGATATTAAGTTTGGCAGGGAAGTTTGTAGTGTTGCTGCCTGTGTTGGTTTTGGATGTGAGATAAATGCAGAAATCTCACTGTCCAGGTTTTATGTACTGTAGAGTTTATCTGGCATCGTATTGACTCAGTAAATCCGAAACAATAAAAACGACAGACAGCAAGCTTTTTTATTTGAACCCAGACCAGTATCAAATTTTAAGAGCATTTATGTGTATTTTCCTCACAAACATAAAACTGATGCCTCCATAGAACAGTTTTGTCTTCCAAGACAGGGAACATAAGAAATATGGCATACAAATATCCTAGTAATTAATGTTGCAGCACTTCATTTTAATGTTAACTGACTAGCTGCAAGTTTTTACCCTTGGAGCAAAAATAGATCAGTGTGCATTTTCTGCTGGAAATCTAAAATACCTTTTGGCTCAGTTAGCATCAGTGTAGTTTTTCAAATCCTTCAGTGCATGTGATGTCCATCTGCCGAAATGTGCCCGAGCATGAACTTGTTTTGAATGGCTGCCTTGTGGAAGGTAAATCTAGTACATGAATGCAAGGGTTTAAAAAAAGACATGTAGTGAGTACTTTAAAAATCCTTAGAGAAAAAATAAATACATGTGATGGGAATTTGTCCCTGGTTTCCCCTAGGCAGTGTGGAAACTGCTGAGTAATTTAATCCTCAAGTAAACTTCTCCTTTGCCATCCTAGAGAGCTGATGTGCTCTCACTGTGACTCTTGGGAATGACAGGAAAAATTGCTTCCTGGGAAAAGAAATCCTTAAGATTCAAAAAAAAAGCAGTTTTCTGTCTCTGGCAGGTGCCAGTGTTAGCATCTAGAAGGAGAATGCAGGAGAGAAATTGGTCATTAATACGTTCCCAAATGAGATGTATTGCATGTCACAAGCCAAAAAAAAAAACCGACAAAAAAACAAAACCAGATTTTTAAGAATAAGTAAATAGCTTATCTCAGTGATTTTAATACCTTCATTAATAATTATGCAGTAATAGGTCCTTTCTAGCAGCGGTACTGATTATGACCTGAGGATACACAGCTTCTGCTGCTCCTGTGGCACTGTGTTATCATCAGTCTTTAGCTGGACTGCACGATGGCCCCATCGGAGTGACTAATCCAAAGCAGAAATCACATCTGGGAAACAGATCAGGACTTTGGAAATCAAATATGCTGATAACTTATGTCATCTCTGACATAAATTCTGAAAGTAGTGAAAGGTATCCTTTTGTTTTCTATGACATTTGTTTTCAACAGACAATATTAAATTTTAAAGGAAGTGTTTTATTTGGCTATGGCCAGTTGACTGAAACCCATTGAGTAGGAGGTGGAGAAGGCTTGAAAACAAAGCTCTTAGAAATAACAATATAGATCTGATCATTACTGTACTGAGTTGATTTTCAGAAAGAACCTAGGCGTCATACCAAATCTGCTGATCTAGGCAGTGGGCTAGAAAAAAACATGGAGTGTATATGGCAGATAAAGAGTATGGTCTTTGGCTGCCAGCAGTGGTTCTGGGGCACGTATGTGCCTACTGTAGAGATGGAGCTGTTAACAGAGCTTTATCTTCCTGCCTTGGCTCTACATTTTTCTTAGTATAAAAACAAATGATATATGCTAATTAGGACTTAAAAAATTATCATGCCCAGGGAAGCATCTGCAGTAGCCTGTGCTGCAGTTCAGTGGCTCCTAGACCTGCAAGGCAAAAAGCTGAAAGCTTTTTTTTTTTTTTTTATCTCTTAGAAGATGAATTTTCAAACAACCTGTAAAATGACTACCATTTACTAAATTTCTTACAGCATCTCAGTGATTCTGCTGGGTCACAAATGTTACTATCTGTCCATATTAGTTACCCATTGAAGACTGCTATGATTCAGCACTTAGAAGTGGCTGTCATTGCTACTTGATGACAAGCACTTTTACGCCTGGAGTTTTTTTAATCAAAAAAAAAAAGACTTGTGACCTTAATTACAAAAAGGGTTTTTATTTTTTCTTAAAAAATAAAATAATTTTTTTTTTTTAAAAAGACTTTATTTCCATCCAGACTGTCTCAGTGTGTTCAGAAATTCTTAGTGTGACCATCTGAGTGCCACCTAGAAACGATTTTTCAGTTTAGGGTATGCTCAGTGATGAGGTACATAGAGGAGTATGAAACTGTATTGATTCCAGCACTCTTCTGCTCTGAAGAGAAACTGATACATAAACTTGTTACACAAGAAGTTTATTACTGTGACCAAGTAAATGGTACAAAACTAGTTTCTCCCAGGCATTCTTGGAGCACTGAAATATTAAATATCTCAGTGCTCTCAGTATCATTATTTCCCAGTGCGAAGCATTTTATTGTGTTTGGGGAATGAAGATAACCTGGTGTTCTGGTAAAACTGGATATTTTTATTCTAGTTCCTTATTGGAGATGTAGAGTGGCTGTAGGTATCAAAATTTGATCAGGAGAAGGAGAGGTGTTTTCCCCAGCTGATGTGAACCAGAATTGGCTCTCATAAATTATTTGGTATCACTGCTCTGTTCACGTAATGATATTGAAATCTTTACCTGCATTGCCTTGATCACAATACCTTCTTTCAACCAGTAGTGCTGCAATTACTGCAACCCTGAACTGCAAGTTTGGTTTAGATAAGCGTGCTACAATTCCAGAGCTTGTCCATAGATTGTGATGGAAGTTGCTGAGAACAGGCTGTCAGAACCACAGCTCAGACCTTTTGTTCTGCGTTGACGTGCCTCATTCTCACAGATATGACAGGCACAAAGATACAGCAGAACAAAAATTCAAATTCTGAAGCAAAGCTATTGTTAAACTTCAGCCAGCAAGTTCAATTTGCTTTGATTGTTTGTTGTCTAAATTGGCACACTTCTCCTCTAAGTGAAGTACCTAGACACTTGAAGCATGCTGAACTTAAGAAACTTCATACCAGTTAAGACAGCATGAGGTTTTTGTAGAAGTGAGCAGTATCAGCCCTGTAGTCTCTGCACATTCTTTGAGATAGCTTCAGAGAAACACTTGTGCAACAACAACAAAAAAAAAGTAGTGTGCTTACCATAGCTAGTGCTGTGAAAGGACGTTCTGGCAGTACTACAAGAAAGTATGGGAGGAATCATCCTGGGTCAGAAGTGCCATTGCAGCAGTATTTTTGTGCTGGGTCAGCTGGCTCTTTGGCCCTAGGATTCTGGCTATGGAGATGCTGTCAGAGGATAGTTGCATCCTTGAGGCACTGCTTAGCACCGAAAGGTAGCAAATGTCATTCAGTTTCCTTGACATTTTGTCACTGTTTCCGTTTGGGTAGCAGTCGCTTACTACTGCCAGTGATGAACAGGGAAGAGTGTGTGGGTAACAGAAACTTTAAAAATAATGAAGAGAATGGCAGATTCCCTGTAATAACAGATTTGAGAAACAGCTTTGGAGAAGATATTAAAGTAGCAAGATTTTCTTCCCCAGAGCAGCTATAGCCAGTATAGGATTAAAGTATAGGTTTATCACCTCTGTTCAGCTTTGATTCTGGAAGATTCGTGTTTCTTCAGTTTATTTTTTCATAAAAAGGAGGCTTATGAATTCTGAATGATATTATAAATAATGAATTCTCATTATTCCCATATGAGTTTGAGGATTTGTATTTATACAAATGGTTTGATTATTGAAGCTTTATGGAAAGACCAGGTCCAGAATGTAATGTTATAGTGAATAGATTTGATAGGTTGCAGGTAATGTAGCAATTTCTGTTTGGTTTCAGACTGGAACTTGAATTCTTAAGTGCTTAAATACAGTATCAAAATATGCACTAATAAGAGGCTTATGAACAAGTGAGAGTTGTCTGCATCTTCCCTTCCTAACAGAAAATGAACTTAAAGGAGAAAAAATCATCAAATAGACCACTAGTCTGTTTAGGCTCTAAATTTAAAGCTTGTGTTAAGAGAAATAGTCTCTTAAAAACAAACTCCATTAATGTAAGACTGCGTACAAAAGTCATGTCATCCTTGTATGAGGTGACTGTTCACATTCTTCCCACCGGATGTTGCTTTCTCAAGAGACAGTCACTCCTGATGCTGAGGCAGACAGGACCTGTCTTGTCTTGGCTCCATACCACCTTCTGTGAGGCATTTGGTATTCTTGGGAGGCTGTCAGAAGATTGTCAGTTGTTGGCAGCGTGTTGCCCTTCACCCTCCCACAGCAGTGGTTTTAAGATACCTATTTCTCGTTCTGATACACACTGAAGCTATATTAGATCTGGAGCCTAAAAGCCATGGTTGTTTTTTCCTTGGTTAATGGCCGTGTCATTTTGTTGTCTATTTAAATTACCCAGCAAACCCATTCCCTTTGCCTGTCCCTGTACTTTTAGAGGACACGCCACCTCTTCTTGACCGTGCTCAAAGAGACTGCCTTAAGATTGGGTCTTGGGTTCCCAGGTCCTTGGGAAATGAAGCTTGAGCGAGCCAAAGAACTGAACCCCTGGAGCTCTTGGAGCCACTGTGACAGCTGCTTGTTGCTGAGCCAGTGCCCCAAGCAGCATGACTGCTATCAGTATTCAGACTGATTGCAAGTGGGTTTGTGAAGGGAATCCTTCCAGTTCTCAAAAGGCAGTACATCATCAGGCTTTTGATGAGCAACAAGCTTGACCAGTTGTTTGCTAACTCACAAGCCACTGTCTTTCTCTAGAAAATAATTCCCTGACACCCGTACCGCGCTTGTAGTCCTGTCAGCTTTGCTACAGGGATGGCCATGTTGAATATTGCTGTGGTTTCCCACTGCTGGTCAGCCAAGAGGAGAAGTGTAGTGTGGCCTTTGGCTGTGAAGGGCACACATTTGCCCCCAGCTTACCCGTTACGGGACAACCCAATGAGCTGCGCTGCATGCGGGGCTCTTTCTGAATGACAAGCTAACTCTGTTTGTTCCACCTCCCCTCCAGAACTGTCAAGTAACCCATCTCTGGCTTCGATCCTCATCCCTGCTCATGCTCGGAACCAAGCAGCTGCTTCAACCCCTACAAACGCTACAGCAGCCTCAGGTGAGAACACGCGCCCGCCTGCCTCCCCTGCTCCATGGCACCATCCTCTGTGGAGGCCCAGGGTGAGCAGGAAGGGAAGGACAGGCTTCTCCAGCCCTGCCTTCTGCTCGGTCTCTGCTCATGGTCACCTGGATGCTAGCTGTGGTCGCTAACCCACATCCTAACCTGGGCCACCGATACGTTTGTTGATGCCTCTTGCCCAGACTTTCACTATGAAAGAATAGTTATTTCCACTGGTTTTTACTTTTTTTTTTACACACTTTTATTTTATTTTGGATTGTTTTGCACCTGAATTGTGAGCTTTCGGCCTCTCCAAAGTTAATACTGGCTTTGAGCACGATGCCTAGGAGAAGGAGTGGCTAGCTTAAAGGACGTGGCCTCTGCAGAGCATGGATGGAGAGGATTTTCCCCATTGGGAAAGGCAGAAGCTTACAAAAGTCAGGGAGTTGGGTCACCTTGCTCACTGCCTCTTCTCTGTAGCTGCTGTTGCTTCTTACTGAGTTTGCTTATGTTATCTTTGAGCACTTTGAGTTTTGGCCAGCTCTGAGCAACTTTCTTTGTTCTGTCTCACTCTCACGTTTCTGTCAGAAACCCTTTAAAAGTTCACTGTTGGTCTGTAGCCACTCCAGTTTGTATTATGTTTCCAACAAAACCTGAAAGGCTGAGTAATATCAGTTGGGAGACTCCCAAAGCAAATCCCAGGTGCTGCCGGATGTGGCAGTGGTGATTCACACGTGGCACTGCGTCAGCCCTGAGTCAGCATGCCAGCAGGCAAACTCACTGTGCTTGTGCAACCCGAGGCAGGCTGCGAGATGGGTGTGCTTGCATGTGTGTCTCTTGAGCGTGCCAGGCCCATTTGAGAAGGGCAGGGACCCGCTTTTGAGGTGCAGGGTGCTTACTCAGTTGTGAAGGAAAATGTCTGAAAGTTGATGTTCCAATTACTTCAATTTTGATGCGCTTGATCCAGCCACTGCCATACAGAAAGCATTTTCATGGTCTCTTTTAGACAACTGCAACTGAGTTGGAAGATCAGGCTTCTCTCTGAAAACGTGGTATCAGTTTGTAAAAGATAGAGCCTGTATAATTTATGTGCTTTGAACTTAGGAGAAAGCAAATTTGCTCTTCTAAAATTTACTATGTTCCATACACTTTGCAGTATTTTGCAAATAGTCATGTTCTCTGTTTCCCTTCTGTGTGCATCTGTTGCTCGATGAGTGAGGAAAAAACAGATAAAGTAGTAATAAAGTGATAGAAGAACTACAAAATACAGACAGGGAATTTGACTTTAACATCCTTCTGAAAAATCCTTTCACTTAATGTCATTTTAATGCCTTTTTGAGTAGCTCTCTGCTAAGATGCAGCAGTCTTGTGGAGTGAACTGGGTTAAGAAAAACTGTTTTCACCCAGTACTTCCACTCCAGTACACAGAAGGGGAAAAATGCATTAGGCTGAATGCTAGAAGTGTCCTAAATGTGAAGTATACTAAAAGAAAAGAAAAAAAAACCCACCCATCTTATTGATGTCAACATGTGCAAGCCTCCTGTTCACAAGCAGTACTCAGAGTTGGGACAGGACATCCTACTCTTAGTTCACTAGAAAATAACCTTGCAACTTGGAAAGAGACTGTGAAATTAATTAAGGATTGAGCAACTTGTAGTGTTGTGTTTCTGCTGCACAGCTGTTTTGAAGTTCCATGCCCATGTGGGGTTCTCAGCAGGCCCTGGGAATTTCAACAGAATTACGATTTTAAGATTCAGTCCTATATGAGATGGTGTTTATCTGTTTTGCTTTGCATGCTGATGCCTCACTGAGCAAAAAGTTTTTAAATTAAGAGTCCCTTTTCCCCTCCCCCTGCATATTGGTAGCTGCTAAAGCAGCATTGGAGCACCTCTCCTACCTGACCCAGGGCAGCCTGACAGGCTGGAGGCTCTTCTGCAAAATGTGGAACTGTGAAAAAACAGTGCAAGTTCAGAAGCAGTTTTGAGCAGAAGAGAACAAACCAAGTTATATGTAACTGCAATCCACGTTAATAGTTTGTCTCCTGTCAGCAAGAAGAATTGATACTGAAGTTCTTGTGTCCGGTGCTGTGTCCAACATAGCTGCTTATAGGTATTCAGGCACTGAAATGGAGTGAACATCCTGGGCTGCTCTTACCTGCTCGCAGTCGTTTTCATAGCTGCTATGTAGCAGAGACTGTGACACGAGTTTCAATTTTTTCATAAGGTGCAAAGCACTGCTTTATATTGCACACATTTATATTATTACAAGTTATCCAAAATAGTGTTCATTAACTGATAGATGCAGAGTAGTGATTTCAGTAGCCCAGTGCAACAGCAACTTTGGGATCATGATGTGAAGTGCAGGGGAATTTGAGGTAACTTTTGGTGCAACTTTGGTTGCAAATTTCCTCTCAAGGCGTAAAGCCAGGCTCCCTGTACTGATGGAACCCTGTTTTGCTATGGGAGCATGAAGCCTTGCTGCTCTGGCACTGGCAAACTCGCATGAAGTTTGAGAAATCCCCCTTGACTTCTGTGGCACAAAAAGGAATAAGAAGTTGAAAGTGATTGGTCCTGCTGGAAATGGTGTGCTGGCTTTCTGTGAATCACACTGATGATTGATAAAAAGGCTAGTACAGCTTTGTACATGTGGATGCTGACTTGATCAGTCCGGAGGAGGACAGTTCACAGCCATGCAGTGAAGCTGAGGAGTTTACCTGTTTGTCTGACTTCATTTTTCTTCCCGGCTTAGCCAGCAGCAGCAGTTACCTCTCTGTTAGCAGTGCTAGGATGGGAAGGGTGTAATTGCCATCTGCAGGGAGCTATGCCAGCTGGGATGCTGGGGTTGTCGTCTTAGGCATCCTGCTGTGCTGATCCTGTGTAATCCCAAACGAGATGGTGTGCCTGAACTTTCAGCAACAAAACAGATTAGAGCTAGTGTCACCTGCCAGTGTTGGGTAGTTGAAAAGGCCACAGTACTCCAGTGAAATAAGATTTAGTGCAAGTCTGATATTTCCATTGAAAGAATTTTGTACAGCCCTACTTCCTTAGGCAGAAAAGGGCCAGGCAGTTTTCATACATCCGCAGCAGCTACAGGAGAGCAGTTTGTCCATGTCAGTCTTACCAGTTTTGCACTGAGCCCAGCATTTCTCTGTCAGTGGACACTGCAGGAAAAAATGAGCCCTTCTCATCCTTCCACTCCTCTCCTCTGTTGCCCTGTGTGGACTCCTGGACTGTTTGCACTTCTGTTTCTCTCTTTGTAGAAGAGCAGTGCTGTCTGTCGGTGCCCAAATCCAGCCAGCTAATGCTGTCATTAGTGTTGATGGCTTTTTTCAGACTGAGTTGGTGGCTCTGTCTTTGAACTGCAGCCCAATCTTTCCTTTCTGGGAGGTTTCTAGGGAGCACCACGTACCTTCTGAGAAAGTAGAGGTATTCCTCAAAGGCTGCAGCTGAACTGGCAGAGAATATATTGATGAGAGATGACTTTCTCCTCTGTTTATAAGAAATTCAGAAGTGGCTGACACTTCAACCCTGCTGTGGTTTCTTTGCCATGCACAGAGGTGTCAGGTGGGTGATTCACAGCAGAGCATGCCCTAACCTCAAGCTGCACTCACCTGCCCATACTAGAGAGCTCCATACCAGTTTGTAGGTTCAGTCCCTAGCACAGCTTCTACAGCAGCACAGTTGGCAAAGCAAATATTGTGTGGAGTTTAGTGGTGTTGCTGAAGGCATAGGTTTTCTTCTCCAGTGTCCAAGGACCAGTTTCTCCTGGTGACGAGGAGTAACTGAATGCCCAGAAACCCTCATGCTCTGGTTGTGCTCCTTTTCCAGCACTCCAGCAGAGAGTGCTGGAGCAAGCCCTGATCTGCTCCTCAAATGCTCCATCCACAACAGGCTGGAGAGTCACAATGCTGCATCTTCTTGCAGGTTCTGAGTCAGTGCAGCCCTTAGCAGCCTGTGCTCTGTCCCAGCCTGGGTGGGCTGTTACACAGTGCTGTGAAAAGCCCTATGTAAATGGGCTGCATCACTTTATTTCCTTCTGACCGTATGCTGTATATATTTCTCAGAAACTCCCCCACTAGCGTGATGATAAGAGGAGCATGTGTTACATGTTACATGAATTAGCTCCATCCCTTCCTCTTTCTTCATCTCTGCTCAGTAGCAGTGAAATGATAGTGGTTTCAGCCTATACTGTCTTCAGGAGTGGGAGATCAAAAAATATGTTTTATTTCAGCAAATGAAACACACGCTCTTTGTTCTTGCACAGAGAAATCCTCTGCCAACAGTACAGATTCCAGCTGGACTGTTTGCATCAGGCACAGATGTTGCATTAGCTAGGGTTTATCTCTACCTGCACATCAGGCACAGTTTGAGGCGTGACTCAGCCAGAAGCTGACAGTCAGAGTTTCCACTTCAGATTTCCTTGGTCATCGTTGGTTCACAAGCACATGTGGTTTGGGAGCTGCTCCTTGAGAGCAGTTCCCCACCTAGGTGGATATCTCTCACGTGCACTGCTAGCTTCCCAAATAACACTGCTGCTGTTGGCACATTACCATGGTGCTTTGAACTTCTTTTCTCATGGTTGTCATTGCTTCGGGAGGGAGAGCTTTGGGTCACTTTGGGGTGGGGGGAAAAGGAATGGGAAACTTTCCCAGCATAGTGTTCAGCATCCTCTGCCTGTAGAAGGATTTCCCTTTCTTCCTACGCATTCCTCACAGCGTTTCCTTTTCATACAGGCATCACACCCTCTCTCCCTTGTCCTTTTTATTCCTGGAAGCTGGTGCTGGTTTGATTGCCCCTTCTTGTTGCCATCATCTCTGTGTGTTACTTAATTTGTCCCTCAACCGATGCACTCCATTTCTGAACTCTCATTCACCTTGTCACCTTTTGCTCATGGCTTCACTTCCAACTATGGTCGGGTTAGAGTGGCTGGACAGCAGATGGGCTGCATTAACAACATCCCACTGCCATGCCTCACCAGTGTTTCTCTCCTGGAAAAGCATTGCTGCACCCCACCACCTCCACTTGTATTTTGTTCTGTTATTTCTGCCGGTCATGCTGTCCTTCATTGGTTGTTAAATTTGCTCTGTCCTCTATGAGCCCTTTTCCTTGTCTTCTGAATGCACTGCTTTCCCACTCTGCCCTCTTCTGTACTGAGATAAAAGTCATTTTTATCCTATTGCAGTATTGATAGCTTTGCAGCTTAGCCTTAAATTCAGTGGTAGAAATGCACAATGCTCTCTTTAGAAAACCTCACGTGATATCTTTTTCCACTCATGTATTTGTTGTCAAGTATTTTGTGTTTCGCCTTTTGTCCTCTTTCCTTTTTTGTGGCTATGCAGATCACATCCTGCATAGGACGACTCCAGATGAAGTTGGTGCATTTTTTTTCCCCTCCCAATTCTTGTAATATTCAGAAAGCTTATTTTTCCAGAGAGAACACCAACTGTGTGTGGTTATTTGGCCATCGTACTGTTCTGTTGTTCTCAGTATGTTTGGATGTTCATTATCATCTTGGCTCTTGCTTTTCTCCTTTTCCTGCCTTATTGAAGGCCTGTCCCAGTTCGTTGGGGCATTCTAAGAACTGAGTAACAGTACTTGATGGTCTCTGGAAGGGCCTCTGCACATTAGCATGAAGACTGTAGCCTTTGTAGCCCTTCGCTACAAGCTGACACAACTATTTTCCCTTCAAATCACATCTGAAAACACAGTTGTGGTGAAATTCCTTTTGTTATTTCTTTGCAAATTCTGAGTTTCCTTGCATGCACACTGACAGGAGCCCCTGGTCCTGCATGTTGTCTCTGTGTGGGGCTCCATCCCTCCTGGAGGTGGCTTTGCTACAAGGAGACCTAACAACAAGAAACATCAGCACCAGTGTGCAGCCCTGGGCAGTTGTGCTGGCTCTGGCAGTGCCAGTGAGCCTTGCTTTCAGGCAGTGTTCCTGGGTCAGCCTGAGCACAGCCTGTCCCACCAGAAGAGCTGAACACAGCCAGGTGTTAGCATGCTGAAATGGTGTTGTCCCACTCAAAGCACACCTCTGCCCAGAGCAATCAGCTCTTAATAAACCCAACGAGGGCATCCTGCTCAGCGGTACGGTGGTGGGATTTGGGGCTTTCCCTGTGTGGGAAATGTCATGGCTGTTGTTACAAATGTCTGTGTTCTGGAGGTAATGCTGGTTGTTCTTTCTTTCTTTCCTTCCCTCGCCTGTCATTTGCAGATGTTAATGCAGGAGAACGAGTTCAGACCAATAGTGTAGCTACAGCATCAGCCTCCAACTCCACCTGAACCGGTACCAAGCAGCCAGCTGCACAGGAAAATCACCAGTAATTTGAGTCTTGCTCAGCAACACTGGTCACATTTGGAAAGAAAATTAAAAAGAGGAAAAAAAGCAACCAACCAACCAACCTGTTCATTTTAGTGTTCAATTTTTTATTATTATTATTGCTGTTCTTATTTAACCTTGTAAAATATCTATAAATACGAACCAGTTTCATTGTATCTCACTCTGCAGGGTGTCCGGGGCAGGGACTAGGTGGGGGGAGGAGGGAACGCGGAGCAATACAACACACCAGTGTCTCTCCCCTCAACAATCTCTTCATGTTGGAAGTTTGCTGTTGTGTACTTCAGAACCAGGACTCTTGCCTCATGCCCTCTCCCACAGCGAAAAGAAGGAAAAAAAAAAAAAAAAAAAAAAAAAAGAGAAAAAAAAAAGGCAAAACAAACAAAAAAAAAAGAATCCCCAAACCTCATTCTCTGCTGAAGTTCTTTTTTTTAACCTCTTTTTTTATTTTCTTTTTAAGTGAAGTTTCGGACTTTGATGTAGTGCACAGCTTGAATTTGGTCGGGAGCTTAGCAGGGGTCATTCAACAGAGCTCAGCATTCGGTGCCAGCGAATCCACGCCCCGGGCCGACCGACGGGCGACTGACAGCTGCCCTGGCTGGCATGGTAGGACATAGGCTGCCTGGGGGAGGGGGGAGGCTTACGTGTGTCTTAAGGCTTGAGCTGCTAGTGGCAGACTTTCCTTTTCACAAATCAGTGCTAGCGATGAAGAGACCTGCAGCTTCCTTCCAAGAGGAGCCCCTCGCGCGGCTCTATATAATATGATACACACACAGGCGGAGGCGAGCGGTTGTGGTTGGGGCAGCGGAGGGGATGGCGAGGGCCGGGCTGAGAGGTGCCACCGCCTGAGCGATTGTCCAGTCCCAATTGGAATAGGTTTCCCTTTCCCGAGATGTACAGGAAAAGGACACCGGGATTTATAATGTGAACTGTAACAGTCTTCTACTGGTTTATTTTGTAATATTTTTTAACTGCAGCTTTAACTCGCAGGATGCCACATTCTACGGTAGCTCTGATTTTAAATCCACGGCTAGAGTCTGTATTTAAATTTCATCTTTTTAACCTCTTTGCTTTTTTGATCTCTATTTATTGATGCGCGTTGCCACGTTGCCATTCTGTTTTTACATCGGTAGAATATTAATAAACTACACATCGGAGTGCTATCAACAGTAATTGTACCTGCTGACTTGTAGGAAAGCTGGCTACATATGAGTGTGTGTGTATATATATTATATAAATATATACATGTATACATAGAGACAACACTGTTTTTTTTTTTTTATTTTGTCTACAATCTCGCAGCAGTCTCACTGAAGCGTGAGGCGGGTGCTTGTCGTAGCCCAGGCTCCGGGTTTCCCCCCTGTGAGGGCGAGTGGTGCACGGTCCCACCTCTGCCCCATCCCAAGCAATATCCCCGGGGAGGACAGGTGGAGGAGCCCCCCCTTGCCTTGCACTCCTTAGGAGCTGCCTCGGTGCTTACCGGCTCTGTCTGACCCGAGGGCCTGAGACAGCTGGTTGGTTTGGGGCAGCGTGTGGCCCTTTGCGTGGCCTGGGAGTGGCTCCAGCAAACCCAGTGGCTGCGGGGGCTCTGCTCATGGCCTTCCCTCCTGTGCATTTCACCTTGTTTGTGTGGGGTTTTTTGGAAACTCGTCACCGAGTCCTGCCCGATAATGGTGGGAGGGAGGAGCAAATGCCCACCCTGAAACCACTAAGCCCTTATGTTATGCCCCCCATCAGTTTGTTGTCGGGGAAAAAAGCATTTCCCGTGCCTCGCAGTGGCTGTCCCTAAATTCTGGCTGATTGTAGAGGAAGGCACACTGCCTCTTCAGAGCTGAAGGCTTTCAAAATCCTCACACGCGTGACACAATTGAAAGGGCTGAGAGCGTCCTAAGGACGGAACGCGGCTCACACAGGTAAGTGCAGGGGCTCAGCAGTGGCCCAGCCATCCACGTAGTGCAGGAGACCCACAGAGCAGGGCAGAGTGTGGATCTGCTGCAGGACGAGAGCACTGGGCCATGGCCTGTAGGCGCCGCTGCTCAGAGGCAGATAGATGACCGAGTCTTTAAGATGTAAAACTAACGGAGAAAAAATTGCTGCTCGTTCCAGGAAATGTGGCTTTTCTTCCTTTCTTTTCTTCTTTTTCTCCTTTCATTGAAGTCTAGCGGAGGAGAGTGAAGAGCTTTGCTCCTGTTCTGTGCTGTGTCTGTGTGCACTGTGTGGGTGTTAGCCGGGGGTCAGGGCGCCCCGGGGATTTTGTTTGTTTGTTTGTTTGTTTTCAAGGATCATGGCAGGATCACCGACTCTTTTATACAGTTAGATCCAGGTCTTTGAATAACCTTTTTTTGTAAATAAGAAGAAAAAAAAAAAAACACACAGGAAAAAAAAAAAAAAAAAAAAAAGGAAACCACAAAGCTCCTCACCAAATTCAAGCTTGTACATTATTATTTTTGGTTGTTTTTAAATTTTGAGTTTTATTGTTTTGTATGTAAATATGTGGACCCAGGAACTGTTATTAATGAGCAAAAAGTTACCGTTCAGGGCAGTGATTCTGTTTAATAATCAGACAAAATGTAGACGAGCTTTTTAAAGCCATATAGTTTTAACTCTGTACAGTAGGTACCGGCCTGTATTATTGTAACAATAACTCTAGCGATGTATAGTGTATCTATATAGTTTGGAGTGCCTTCGCTTCCATGATTTTTTGAATTTTATTTCCCTTTTTTTTTTTTTTTTTTTCCTCCTTTATTAACAACATCCCCCTCACAACCGCATCTCCGCTCCCCGCTTTTAATTCGGAGTGCTGTCAGGTTTCGGTGGTACCCCGATCCCGAGCGGAATGAAAGGAAACCCTCCTCGCCCCCATCTCAACCTGAGCCACGGCTTTGCTCTGGACGTCCCCGGTTCCCCCTGCCCTCCTCCCCCCTCTAGCAGTGACCGGTTTCATTCTCCACTCGCTCGCCCGCGGCAGCCCTGTGGCTGGCGGCTGAGCTCGGCTTTGCTCGTCTTCCCCCCGCCATCAATGGTGGATCCTCCGCCATCATTGATGGATCCCCCAGTGCGGTGGATGAAGGGCCCTCTGCCGTCAGCAGCGAAGGGACCCCGCCATCGTCGCTGGGCCCTGCGGGGGCTCTCGGAGCAGGGGGCTCCTCACCGCATCCCCTCCCCACAGTCACTTTTGGTTTCTTAAGATGGCAAGTTGAACATGTCTCTTGAGTTCTTGCGCCCAGCACGAAGGCCTTGTTTCTACAATTAGTCCGCTTGTGTTTACTACCTGGTTAGTGTTCCACCTGAGGTTGTCTTGAATGGGAAAACACTTCACCCTGTACCAAACCAAAGGTTGCTGTTTTGTTCCGGAGCATCTTGCGTTCATTCCGGTGAAGCAGAGGCTGCACTTTTTCTGGTGACACAAAGGTCAGTGGCGTCACGTTGCTTCTGATGGTCCGCTCAGAGCTGTTACTCTCTTCCCTCCGTCTGGGGCTCGGTTTTGACAGTGTATGGTCTCCATCTGTCCTCTTGTCAACTCCACAACGCGTAGGTCTCTGAGATGGAGCCGATGGTGATCGGGGTCCCCTCTGGGCACCCAAGTAAGACACTGCTGTTCTTAATGCTAATTAACTTACCTACCTTACTAGGGAAAAAAAAAAAAAAAAAATCGCAAAAGAAAATTGGCTAATCACACAATTAATCTCCCATTATTTTTAAGCAAAGCTTTGCTTCCAGCAGTGGCAGGTGCCTGTGACGTGCCACTGCTGAGCACATCCAAGCCCCCGGCTCGTTGGTCCCCTCTCCGAAAAGCAGACAGCCTTGGACGGACGGACAGCGGCGCCAGCAGCGCACAGAGCCTCTGCTCTGGGTCTGCCTTTCTGAGGTGGGGAGAGGTGCCTGGGTCCCAGGTTCTTCCCACAGGGCTCTTAGTCAGTTTTGTTCCTAGTTCGTTTCGTTTTGCAGCCCTGCAATAACAGCAAAACGACCAGAAAGGAAAACAGTACCTAAGGGGTTAGCTTGAGAAAAGTAGCTTCCTTGTGTTGGTCTTTCTCAATTTATTTTTAATATATATATATATATATATAAATATATATATATATATAAAATATATTTATATATATATAATTTGCTTGCCTGTAAAATTTGCGTTCATTAATGTGTTGCTGATGGATCACTTGGGCCTGTACACACCGATTAGTGTGACCACTTCCATCTTAAAAACAAATCTAAAATATATATATATATATTAAGGACTGTGGGTTGTATACAAACTATTGCATACACTTGTGCAAATCTGTCTTGATTTAAAGGAAAAGCAAAACCTGTATAACATTATTACTACTTGAATGCCTCTGTGACTGATTTTTTTTTTTTTTTTTTTTTTTTTTCATTTTAAATATAAACTTTTTTTGTGGAAAGTATGCTTAATGTTTTATTATTTCCCCCGCCCCATTCCCCTTGTAAATACGTTTTGTTCTGTGTGACTCGGTTCGGAAATAGTTAACTGGTACTGTAATTTGCATTAAATAAAAAGTAGGTTAGCCTGGAAATGAAATTGAAAATTCCCAAGTGTGTGGTCTTTATTTCAAAGTCTTGCCCCCTTCCTTCCTCCTCCTCTCCTCCTTCTCTGCCCCTTGTTCCTCACCCCCGCACCTTTTTCCACTCCGCGAGAATAGGTGGACATGAATCTTTGTAATAATAATAAAAATAAAAATAGAAAAAAAAAAAAATCATGAGAAATAAGCATGTTTTCTTAAATGAGCTGTGTTACTCCATGATACTTTTCCAAGAGGTGCCAGCTTGTCTCTGATGCCGTTTGATTTGATGGAGAGAGGAACCCTGGGACATGATATCTCAAATTGAAACCAAGCGATCTTCCTTTACTGTCCACCTATAGATACAAACTTAAGAACCTGTGTAAACTGCTGGCTTTGAATACTGCACTCATCGTTTCTTTTTTTCTTTTTCCTCATTTGGTCCCATTAGTAACGTTATTTGGTGGTGATTTGTAAAGTTTGTCAAGACCACGTCCAGTGGACCGTTCCTCCAGCAAATCAGCACGTAGCTATCTCTGAGTTGGGTTTCCGGTACTGGATAATGTGTGTATTAAACATGACATGTCTATTAGCGCAAAAGAAAAATAAATAATAATAATAAAAAAAAAATGAATAAAAATTCCTTTTTTTGGGCTGGCTGACCTGGCCGAATCCATTCTGTCGCTATCCTAAAGGCTAGATGCAAGGTCATGTGACTGCTGCTTCAATAAAAACAAATTTATATTGCACGGTGGCTCCTCTGGCTTTGTTCGGGGGGTGTGAGTGGGTGACAGCTCTGCAGCTCGAGGTGCTCCCGATAGGAGGGCTGGCACAGAGC